TAAAAATCAAATTATCTTATGATCCAGTAATCCCACTTCTGGGTATTTATCCAAAGATATTGAAATCAGGATCGTAGAGAGATATCTGCACTCACCTGTCATTACAGCGTTATTCACAATAACCAAGACATAAAAACAACCTAAATGTCCTTCGATGGATGGTGGAACACCCATCTTTAGGACTCAAGAGGTCTGTAAAGAAAAAAAGCAAGCAGAGAAAAAGGGGGTGGTTGTGGTTGCAGATGGGTGGCTTGTGGGTGAGAGAAGCTCTCAGAGAGAGGTCTAGGTGAGCTGGCAGAAAACAAGTATGCTAAACACATTGGTTCTGAACAAACTGATCAATAAATAAATTGGTGAAAATTGTATTTGTTATTGCTGGTTTTTTCATATATTGATTTTTCTACCTCACAGGTGTAACTTGGCAATCTAGTCTTAGACTCCTAGTGTTTCATCCATTTATCAGAACTTTTACTTTGGGGGTGAGTGTTTTTGAACAGCGGAGTGGTTTGGCAAACTGTATAACCTTTCAAAGAACACTTTTAAAGCATTTCATTCACTTTTGTGTTTAAAAAAATTTTCTTTTTTTCCTACAAGTATTTACCCAGGCTGACACCCAGGCAGAGGGACTTGTATACATGCTGGCACCATTTGCACACAGAGACATCACCCCCTTTAGTGGTCATTGCTTTCTTATAGTGGTGGAAGTCCAGGTAGTTCCGCCAGCAGTTCCTGGTTGGGAAAGCGGCTGTCCAAAGGGGCAGTCTGGTAGTTCTTGATTTTGGTCTTGATGTCTCCTGCTGTGTTGCTGACTCCTAAAGACACTCCTGAAGCAGCTCACAGCTCAATGTGACCCTCAGCAAAGACTTGAAAATTTTGAATTAATTTTACAATAGCAATGACTTTTGTTTATATTTGGCAGTGAATTTTTTTTTTTTAAATTTCAAAATCTAGTCTTAGACTCCCAGTGAATTGCCTGAAACTAATTTGGTTGAAATAAATATTTCCGCATTTAATAAAATTTGTACACCCTGGAAATCATTCCTTTGTACAAATTTGCACATATTTAAAGTAATTTTGTAGTTAATTTTGCTTTTAAAAATTCTTGAGTTCCTTTTCAGCCAGAGATGCTGATTTCACTTACCCACTAGCCACCAAGCACTGGTGTGCGGCCGGGCACTGTTCAAAGCACTTCAGACCCTATTTCAGTGACTGCTCCCCATAACCTCACCTGGTAGGTTCTGCGAAGTATATCCCAGTTTTGCAAATAAGGAAACTAAGGACGGGAGCATAGACTTGTAATTAAGCCGCAGAGGTCCGTTCAAACTCCTCTGTCCCCTTAACTAGGATAGTTTCTCATGCTTCCATCAGTTTTTAATCATTCTTGCATTTAAACTGGCTTTGATAAAGCCATCTTTAGAAAGAAAAAATACAGGTTCCAATAAGTACGAAGGTTTTCTTATCATTCTTGTGTACTTCTGGGGGGAAAAAATGAAGTTTTGAAATGAAGTGATGTTTTAACATCAGAATGTGAAAGAAGGGAGAACACCGGTCCTGATCATTTCTCGATGGTTTCGTCCTCAGCAATCCAGCCATGATGGGACCTGCACAGGGCGAGCTTCCTAGATGACACACGTTGTTGTCACAGGCAAATCAACCTTGCAGGCGGAGAAAGGACAAATTAGAAACCGAAAACTTTCCACCAATTTGCTCAGCGCTTCCAGATGCGCCGGACCCCGTGCCCCCAGCGTCTTCTGTCCCCTTGCGGCCGTGCTGCGGTCCTGCACCCGCAGGGGAGCCCACCTGAGAGTTTATAGGCCCTGGATATGGGAGGAGTCGAGGCGCGCTTCCTGCCACTCCTGACGCCCTCGGTCCCGGGCAGGGGAGCGGAATCTCCGCGGTGCGGGTCAGGGACGGGGGAATGGCTCCCCCTGGCGTCGGGCGAGGCAGCGGCAATTGGTAACTGTTATCCCACCTGGTCCTCCCTGTTACCCTGCAAGGTGAAGACAGGGTCAGGAGGAGAGATATTGTCCAAGGCCACACAGCTATACAGTGCTGGTATGGCCTTGAACCCGGGTATTGAGTAGGAAAGAGAAGGGGGTGGAGGACTCCCTGATGAAGGATTCAAGTTGCGGGAGCTCCACCGTAGCAGCTCCTGCTGGAGCTGAAACTGAGACTTGGCCCTGGCATCCCAATGGGACTTGATAGAAGTACCCCGAGGAGCAGCCCTGGGGGCAGTGGGGCAGAGCGAGGTCTCTTCAACTCCAGCTCCTGCCAGGGTCACATAGTCCAGGAAATTTGGTCAATATGAGGTTGAGTACCATCAACTCAAAGCCTTAGTGACAAATTTTGGGTATGGTGATGCCGGATGCTGGTGTGGGCAAGCCAAAGAGAGGAGGAGAAACAAGTTGCAAATTATAGTTTCAGGCCCCACCACTGACTCCCAGCAACCTTTCAGGCTCTCCCCCAAACTCCCTCCTTGCCACTCACCTCAGTGGGAAGCACCGCCATCTACCTTCATAAAGCTTCCGAGGGGGATCCTGACCCCTGCCTTGAATTACCTCTCTTCTTATTCAGTTCTCTGTTGGGAGGCAATTTTTCTGTAGGCTTTTCATGTTTCTGCCAAGAAACCGATTGCTCTTTGTTCTTTATCATCTTTTCCAGGATGTCTGTGTAGCAAACAACTTGGACTATATGGTGTCTCCTTCTGGAATGAAGAACAGGCATTCTTCAGCATGAGCATGATAATACCTCTCTCAGGAGCAAGGGGCAGGCTTGCTTTCTGCTTATTATAAAAGACTTGGATTCCCTAAGCTCAGGGTTTCCCTTCAGTAATATACTGGCTGGGTGTTCAGGTGTCATCTGGTCCTGTTCACGTCACCCTGTGGGATTTGGGACTCAAAGAACCAATGCAAAATAATATTTATACTCCTAGTTTACTGCTAGTGCTGCAAGTAATTGTCCTCTTCTCTGAACCAGTTTTGTGCCTTCTACTAGCATCCTGTAAACTCTGGCAGGCTGATTGGTTAGCTTGCAAGTAGGGCAGCGGTTCCCAACCTTTTTGGCAACAGGAATTGGTGCTCCTATGAGAATCTAATGCCTGATGATCTGAGGTGGAGCTGAGGCGGTTATGCTAGCGTGGGGGGTGGGCGAGGTGGGGTGGCTGCAGATACAGATGAAGATTTGCTCACTCACTTGCCACTCTCCTCCTGCTTTGCGGACTGGTTCCTAACAGGCCACTGACCGGTACCCATCTGTGGCCCGGGGATTGGGTACCCCTGAAGTAGAGTACAATCTTGGACCTTTCACCATTCTTGGTAGCTTCCAACCCTGTCAGTTTCATCTTCTACACATTTCTGGCATCCGTTCACTTCTCTCCATTCCCAGCGCCACAACCCTAGTCCAGGCTTCCATCATCTTGTGCCTGGAGGGTTTATTGTTGTGGATTCCAATCTGATTCCCCCCACCCTTTGCCACCCCTAATCTAGCCTCCTCTTGCAGTTGGAGGGACTGTTCTAAAGCTCACAGTGATCTCCAGTTGCCTTGCTGCCTTAGCTCTTCAAAGACTCCTATTGTTTTATAGAATAACCACTACCCACGTGGCCCTTGCTGACCTTACTGCGTACCTTGTGCTTTTCTCCACGTCCTACTTTATGCTCTAGTAATGATGAATTGTTTGAATCATTCTGTTCCCTCTGCCTAGACCATCCTTCGTACTCTCTCCTCTGGAAAACTCATACCCATCCTTCAAAACTTAGCTAAATGAGGTCTTTCCAGTGACCTCTCAGTGCTGTAGTGTTGGAGACACAGGAGGTGGGTTAGGGAGGGGCAAGGGCAGAGGACAGAGTGGAGGGACTTTGCACACTCCACCCTCAACCTCTAGGGGAGGAAACAAGTGGGTGAACAGGACTGCCTGGGCAAAGGTCATCATTGACATTCTGGGGACCCATTATGGCAGGCTACCATGCACAGTTGGCCAAATTGTGTCCTGTACAAGGGTGCCCGGTCCTAGGGAGCAAGTAAGGACTGAAATCACTGTGTGCAAGCACTGGGTGGCACCCACTCTTCCAATCTGCACAGAAGAGCCCTCTTCTTACAAAGCCCTGCACTCACAGTGGCCTGGGCACTAGAGGCGTGCTTTAAAAAATTTCTAAAAGGTATAAGAACCTCGTCCTGTAGCCTCCTGAGGCATTTGCCGGGACCCAACAGGGAAGCAATGTGAGAAACGTGATGACCAAGGTTCTGGATTCTCACAGATTCTAAGCCTTTGATCATCATTCATGTCTCCGGCAATTTCTCCAAGATGCTCCAGGCAGCTTGTGGCCTCCTGTTGCCTCTCGTATCCCTGAGGGGGCTGGCTCAGCAGATTGTCCTCTTTTCCCTAGGACCTGCACCTCTCCAGGACACTCTGAGGCACATTTTCTTATTTGCCCTGCTCTAACCGAGTCTCAGAACCCACTGAGGTGTCACTCATATCTGAGAATAAATATCAGAACCTTATTCCTCTGCTTTGTGACTGGGACCAACCTTTAGTAAATGTGAGAATGAATTTGGGGAAGAGGCGTAGGTACAGGCCTTCAGGTTTGGGCCGCTGAGGCTTTCCTCAGCCACCAAACGTTTTGTCACCTGTGGCTCTGGGGATAAAGATTTTTATTTCCTGGGCCTTGGATACTTGAGGAGTTGAAAGGATGTGGGGAGGTGCAGCCTGACTTTGTTTGCACTGACTGCTCCAGCTGCCTGTTGCAGGCCCTGAGGACTTTCTCTGGCGCTGGTGCCGGGCAGGCCAGTTCGTGGAGTTGATGTTCCTAGGGGTAGTCTCCAACCAGGAGGTGGACAGGATGTGGAAGGCAAACATCCCAATTTTTGTGCAGTGAAGGGGTGAGGGGCAGGTAAAGGGAAGTCTCTTGTGGCAACTGGGTCCCCGTGGTAACTCAGCCCCCACCCTGTGGTATCTGTGAGGTCACCCTGCCTCTCCCAGCTGGATGAGGGGTAGGAGGCCAGACATGGAGGCTGTCCCTCCATTCAGGTCCAGCCTCTTGGGGATTCTGCTGTTGGTAATGAAACTCTCAGTGCTGGTGAGTAGGGGTGGAGGGCAGAGTTGGGGCACAAACCCAGCTCTTCACAGCTACCTTATAGTTGTTGGACCTGGAAACCTGTCCTTACCAGTGGAGTTAGCTGACTGCCTGCCTCCTGACGTAATCTGACAGCTTCTAGAAGCCCCACCTCAGGCCATAGGCTGGAATTTTCTCTATAGTGGATCACTCCTGTGGGTTAAGCATTGCCCCTTCCCACCCATGTTTTTAAAATATGCAAACGCTGATGTTTGGGGCCACATCTCTGAATCAGTGGGCCGAGTTATCAGAACTGGGTTTGCTGCTGTGCGTAGAAAGGGGAGATTACATGGTGTAGTAGAAAGAGACAGACAATTGGATTCATATCTTGGCTGTTTCACTTTTTAGCTATGTGACTTTGGGCAAATTACTCCATTTCTCTGACATAATAGACTGTTTTCCTCCTTGGTCTCAACACTATGAACTGGGGGTGGGGGGCAGCTGCCATTTTCTATGTTCATATTAATTCCTCCCCTAGCTGGATCCCTGAATTCCCTTCCTTTCCCATCAATAGCTCCAACTGATGCCCCCTGTGGTGGGCACACAGCCAATCCCAGATGGCTGCCTCCAGTGTGGTCCTTTAGGGCTCCAGATGGTCCTGTGGACAGGGACACATGGGGTCCAGATTGGTGGGCTGGTATTACTCCAGGAGCTGGGGGCTTTAAGGGTCTGAGGAGGGGCTGTTCAACTCCAGGAGTCAAATGAAGGTTTCTCATTT